CTCTGACGACATCTATTTAATCTTAGGAGTGCTTCTATCTAGAGCAATCCCTTTAAAATATCCTATAGAGGTGTTTTTTGGGAGGCAAATTCCCTCAACTTTTGCTTGTCTGGGAATTGTTTAATCCCTCCTTCATATTGAAATGATAATCATACTGGTTACAGTATTCTTGGTTCAAGGTCCTTGTGTTTCATTGCATTAAATATATCATGCCATTCTCTTCTGGCCTGTAAGGTTTCTGTTGAGAAATCTGATGAAAGCTTGATGGGTCTTCCTTTATTGACCTTTTTTCTCTCTCTAGCTGCCTTTAATACTCACCTTGTCTTTGATCTTTGCCATTTTAAGTATTATATGTCTTTGTGTTGTCCTCTTTAGGTCCCTTGTGTTGGCAGTTTTGTGGGCTTCCATATTCTGAGAAACAGTTTCCTCCCCCAGTTTGGGGAAATTTTCAGCAATTATTTCTTCACTTTTTATCAATTTTTCTCTGAAAAAAAGACACTTTTTATCAATTTTTCTCTGTCTTCTTCTTCTGGTACCCCTATAGTATGACTACTGTTCTGTTTGGATTGGTCACCCAGTTCTCTTAATATTCTTTCATTCCTAGAGATCCTTTTATCTCTCTCTGCCTCAGCTTCTCTGTGTTCCTGTTGTCTGATTCCAATTTCAGTAATAGCCTCTTGCACCTCATCCAGTCTCCTCTTACATCCTTCCAGAGATTGTTTTATTTCTGTATTCTCCCTCCCAACTTGATCCTTTAGCTCTTGCATATTTCTTCGCAAGCCCATGAGCTTGGTTATGACCTTTATTTCGAAATCTTTTTCAGGAAGATTAGTTAAATCTATCTCTGCAGGCCCTCTCTCAAATGCTGTCTGGGTAATTCTGGACTGGACCAAATTCTTCTGCCTTTTCTTGGTGGTAGAGGTACCTGTAGGTAGGTTGTGTGTCAGGTGGGAGAACAAAGTCCTTTCCCACTTGCTGGTTGCCTTTCCCTCCTTTGATGCCTGTGTCGGTTATCCACAGACCTGGAGTAGCCTCCAGATTAATCCCCTGAGCTGCCATGTGTGGGTTATCCCCAGTCCCTGCAGTGAGTGGTATGTGCACCTGGTGTGGTTTCCTGTGAGAATGGCTCCCCTTCATGCCTTACCCCAGTTTCCTCTTCCTACACCAGGCAGCTTTGCACTGGTGGCGGCCTCTGTGGCTGTCTTGGGCGGCTGTGTGCTGGGAGGAGATTCTGGTCAGTTGTTGTGCATGGTGTCGGTCTCCGGCTGCTCCAGTGCCACATGTGCATAGCCACTCTCAGGCTGCTTGGCCGCTGTGTCCCGTGCTGCCCAGGGGAATGACTGGCAGGCCACTTATTGCCATAAGGGGCTTCATGGGTGCATTGCGATCCAGGGGTTTAGGTCATCTAAAGTTCCCTGGGATTCCCAACTGCTGGGATGTGTGTGCTAGGACGCTTCCATCTAGCTGTGAGGCTCCTGTCCCTTTAAGACTTTCAAAAGCACTCACTTTTAGGGGAGCCTATTGTGGGGATCCGCTTGCAAATTTTACTCTTCTGTTTACCTAGTATCCATCACACCATGCAATGTGTGCCTGTGCTCCTGGTGCAGATTACTAGCTTTGGTTATTTAGTATTCCTGGACCTCCACTCTCTCTCCACTCTGACTCCTTTCCTCCTGCCTGTGAGGCTGGGGTTGGGGGAGTGCTCAGGTCCCACCGGTCCATGGCTTGTATCTTACCCCCTTTGTGAGGTGCTGAATTCTCGCAGATGTAGATGTAGTGTGGCTGTTGTACTATATCCACTGTTGTATCTTTTAGGAATAATCGTATTTGTTGTATTTTCCAAAATATATGTGGTTTTGGGAGGAGAATTCTGCTGCCATACTCACTCCACCATCTTGGCCCCTCCTCCTGAATGATTGTTTTTGTTTTGTTTTGTTTTATGGTAGTGCGAAAGTGATGCACATTCAGTGGAAAGTATAATTTGAAATTTCAGTTTTGATCTTTTCCTTTGTGGCAGTATGTGGTATAATACTGTCTGGTGATGGTGGTGCACAGTGACAGCAAACTGCTGCTTCCTTTCGACAGTAATCATGAGGGCCAGCAACATATATACAGACAGCCATTCTGTCTTGTATACATCCGTTCTGTTTTTCATCTTCAATACTGTATTTAATACATGAGGTATTGAATACTTTATTATCAAAACAATTTCATGTTAGATGATTTTTCCCAGATATAGGCTAAAGTAATTGTTCTGAACACATTTAAGGTGGGAAAGGCTAAACTCTGATGTTCTGATGTGTTGGTTTGTGAAATGCATTTTCACCTTAATGATATTTTCAAGTTATGATTGATTTATCAGTATTTAAGTCATAAATTGAAGATCTGCATACTTACATGTGTACATGTAAAGCATGCAAAACATACATAGTCTAAGATAATGATTGCTATTATGATTTGGAACTGTTGTGTCTTAGCTCAACTTAAAAGAAAAGTAAAAAATTTTATTTGCTTGTATCTTTGATGTACTTTGTTCATGTAAAGTGGATTTTCTGGCCTATGTTATTTTATTGCTATGAAGAACTTATAGTTCCTCCAATTTTTGTTTTTCTGAAAGTCTGTATCTCTTCTGCTTCAGAATTATAATTTTGCAGGATAGAAGATTCTAGGTTGTAATGGTTTTCCACCCCATCTTAATTTTAAATATTGTACTCCATTCCATTCTTGCCTGTATGGCTTCTGAGGAGAAGCCAGTAATTCACATAAGGCATTTCTTTCCCAACTGACTTCTTTTCTATATGATTTTGAAAACACTTTTATTTTTGGCAACTATAAAAGAATATACCTTCTTCACCATCAGTCAGTATTTTTTCTGTTTTCCTTGAGCTTTGAGGATCTGTGATCTTTTTGGCTGACATTAATTTTGGTAGATTTCCCAGTTACAGTTAATTCTCTGCTCCTTTCTTTATCTTCTGGTAGTCCAAATACATGACATATGGCCCTTGGATATTCTGTTCTGTTTGTTGTTCTTCCCTTTTTCATTTTTGTCTTATACTCTTTCGTCAGCTCTCTCCAGTCTACTGTTAATTCAGTCAAAGGTATTTTTTTTTTGTTACAGTATTTTTAAATTTTAGCTTTCCTGTTTGATACTTTGCTGGACTTTGTATTTCTGTGATTACATTGCCCATCTGTTCTTGCATGCTCTTTATTTAATATATTAAATATTCCTACCCCATGAACTGTAGTTGTTTTAGATATTCTCTTTGATAATTCGAACAACCCTGCCACTTGTGGTTCTGATGCTTGCTCTGTTTCTTCAAGTTGTTTTTCCCTTTTGATATGACTTAAAACTTTGTCTTTTGTATTTGGACAATACAAAGAACTACTGTACATAACCCTTTAGTAGTGCTGTACTAAATAATGGGGGGACTAGCACTAAGTATGTCTCAGTCTTTTATTGATCCCTGCCTTTGGAAAGTGAACCACCAAATAACAGCCTCTCAGTTTCTCTCCCCACTTGTTAGATAGGATAACTAGAATGGGCTGGAGTTGGGTCTTTCTCATATTTTCGTGATCACCTAGGCTTTGATTATATCTTTGCACTTTAGCTTTGGTTTCGTGAGCCAAACTTGTTTCCTAAGGACTGACTTTTTAAAGAAGATGATACTCTATAATATTTTCGTATGTTTCTTTTTCCCTTCCCCTTGCCAGAAACTTGAGGATTTTTCTCTAATACTTGTATTGTGAAAATCTGATTGACCTATAAGTAAATCTCACAGTGTTTGTGGGTCACCTCAGAGATATTTTTTAAGACTTCAGGCTTCTGTGCATTGAGCCTCCAGTGATTCAATTGTAATGTTTTTCCCACCTTAACACTTGTTACTGGGTCAATTTCCCCTAATGACTTTTGGCTTCAGATTCCTGACTTGTAATACTAGCTTTGCTTCTTCATATTATTGTCTTAAATATAAATACTTTATTCTCAGACTTGAAATATCTGTTGTATTAGATTATTCTTATATATATTTAGTGTCTCATGAGTATAAACTTGGTTGTCTTAAAATTCTTGTGACTTTGTGTTTGAAAAAGCAAGTTTCTGCATTAAGCCTGCCCCCCCAGTCAACTCACTGTAGTCAATTACATGAAAATTTTAGATGTTTACAGTTCTATTATGAAAATCCTTTAATTCATAAAAATAGTATATGAGAAGTCACATAACTGCAATATATACAGTCTGCTCTTCTTCAGGGTGTACTGCTGATGTCTCATTTTATATTGAGTCAATTGTCATTCCTTGCTAACTATTCTAAACATTCTTCCTGTAGAACTTAGAACAAATAAATTGAAAGGCCTTCTGATTCCATTGACATCCTGATAGTTATCTGTTCCTAATTTTTAATGTCCACCTAATTCTATTGTGTTTATCTGAAGTCTTTTTTTTACCTTATGTTCATTTTTTTTAGGTTGATAAGAATTTATGTGATTACCCTTTCAGATCTTTAAATGTATTTGGGAGCATAGAAATAACCTTTGTGGAATTAAATTAATGTTAATGCTCCAAGGTAATATTAATTGTGTGAAGGGAAGCATCAGACACAGGGTTTCTTTGGGATGCAATTTTATTTTAATGGGAAGTGAGCTGCATTTGAACAAAAAATAGAAAATTTATTCTGGTGTGTAATAGCCTTAGAAAATTGCTGTGAGATTTGTTTCATGAGGGAGATCAAATTGACTGAAGTAATTGCCAAGATTTTACATATATGTAAGTACAAGGATGAGATTTGTTGATGGTTTTACATACCTGATCTACTGTAGATCATTTATTTCCATTATTTCCATGCATGGTTAAGTTGATATGCATTAACTTTAAATTTTGGTGTTTATATCACTGTTTGCTGAATGCCAGGCTTGGTTAGCCCCTTGTATTAAAATACTGTTATCTGGGTTATGAATTTTTAATTGGGGCAAAATTTGACTAATAATTACTTTTGCTTTTTCAGCATTATCTGCATATCAGAGATACTACAGTTTACAATCTGACTACTGGAAGGTTAGTATACATTTGTATGCCAATTTTTGTTTTACTATTATTTTATTTTAAAGTATAATTAATAATAGAATATCATACTGGTTTCAGATACACAACATAGTAGTTTAACTCTTAACTGAGCATCAAATGCTCATCCCAACTAGTGTACTGTCAATATAGAATGACATTACAGAATCATTGACGCTGTTCTTCATGATGTACTTTCATCCCTTGATTAATTTATATTATGATTGAGATTTTGTACCTCTTGATTCCTTTCACCTGTTTTACCTTTTTACCCCTGTGAGTCCCCCATGATAACCATCAGTGTTTATGAGTCTATTTCTGTTTGGTTTATCTTTTTTTTTTAAGATTGTACATGTAAGTGAAATCATACAGTATTTCTCTTTCTCTGCCTGGCTTATTTCACTTAGGATAATATCCTTGTTGTTCAAATGGCATGATTTGTTTTTTTTTGGCTGAAAAATGTTCCATTGTGTATATGTACCACATCTTATTTAACCACTCATCTGTTGATGGACATTTATGTTGCTTCCATATCTTGGCTTTTATAAATAATACGGCAGTAAACATAGGGGTGCATATATCCCTTTGAATGTGGGATTTTGTTTGAATGTGGGAAGTTGAATTACTGTGTAACAGAGTATTACTATTTTTAGTGCACTGACAAAACACAATTCTGCTTTTGACACTGGCTGCACCATTTACATTTCCCAGGAGGATTCACTTTTTATTCACAACAGTTGTTATTTCTTGTGTTGGATAGTGGCCATCATTCTGACTGGTGTGATATGGTATCTCATTGTTACTTTGATTTGCATTTCCTGATTAGTGATGTGGAGTGTCTTTTCATGTGCCTGTTCAACATCTGTATTTTCTTATTTGAAAGAGTGTGTATTCCAGTTGTCTGCCTATTAGTTTGTTTTATTGGTGTTGAATTGCATGCATTCTTTATATGTTTTTGATCTAGTCACTTATGAGATATATAGTTTGCAAATATATTCTTCCATACTATAGGTTACCTTTTCATTTACAGAAGCTTTCAGTTTGATGTAATCCCAATTGTTTATTTTTGCTGATATTTCCTTTTCCAGGGAGACATATTCAGAAAGTAATTAGTCATCCTGATTTTTAAAGGTTCCTATGTTTTCTTCAGGTCTTTATATTTAGGTCTTTGATCCATTTAGAATTCACTTTTGTGTATGGTTTAGGACAGTGGTCCAGTTTCATTCTCTTGCATGTAGCTGTTCAATTTCTGCAACACCATTATTGAAGAAACTGTCTTCACACATTTTATATTCTTGCCTCCTTTGTAGTAGATAAATTGACTATGTGTGTTTCTTTTTGGGCTCTGATCTGTTTCAATAATGTATATGCCTGTTCTTGTGCCACTACTATACTGTTTTAATCACTGTAGGTTTGCAGTATAGCCTGAAACTAGTGAGCATGATACCATCAGCTTTGTTGTTCTTTTTCAAGATTAGTATGTCTATTTGTGGTCATTTGTAGTTACACACAAATTTTAGGATAATATATTTGAGTTTAATATGCCATTGTGTTTTGATATGGATTGTATTGAATCTGTAAATTACTTTGGGCAGGATGATCATTTTGACCATCAATTCTTCTCATCCATGAGCATGGAAAAGCTGTGGAAAAACTGTCTATTAATTTGTGTCATCTTCAGTTTCTTTCATCAGGGTCTAGTTTTCATAGTAAAGGTCTTTCACCCCCTTGGTTAGGTTTATTGCTAGATATTTTATTCTTTTTGATGAACTTGTAAATGGAATTGTGTTCCTGATTGTTAGTTTCTGTGTTAGCTTATTGTTAGTATATAGAAACACAACAGATTTCTGTGTATTAATTTTGTATCCTGAAACTGCTGATTTCACTTATTCTCCTAGTTTTTTGGTGGAGTCTTTAGTGTTTTCTATGTATTGTATTATGTCATCTGCAAACAGTGACTGTCTGATTTCTTCCTTCCAGTCTGGATGCCTTTTATCTTTTTGTGTTGTCTGATTGCCATGGCTGGGACCTCCACTACAATGTTGAATAAAGTGGAGAGAGTGAGCATTCTTGTCTTGTTCTCAGTCTTAAAGGAAAAGGTTTCAGCTTTTCACTGATAAGTATGACGTCTGTGGGTTTCTCTTTATTAAGTTGAGGTACTTGCCCTTTATACTCACTTAGTTGAGAGTTTTTATCATGAATGGATATCGAATTTTTGTCAAGTGCTTTTTCAGCATCTACTGAGATGAACATATGGTTTATGTCCTTTGTCTTAATGTGGTGTATCACATTAATTAATTTATGAATCTCACTAGGTCATACTGGATGACCTTTTTTATATATTTTTAAGTTCAGTTTGCTATTATTTTGTTGAGATCTTTGCATATATGTTCATCAGGACTTTGTCTATAATTTTCTTTTTTTGTGGTGTCTTTGATTTTGGTATCAGAGTGATGTGGGCTAAAAATTTCCCATGACAAAAATTCAACGAATCAGGAGAATTCTTTGAAAAATTACATGCTGATGAATTAGACAACCTAGAAGAAATTGACAACTTTCTAGAAAAATTCAACCTTCCAAGGCTGACCCAGTAAGAAACAAAATCTGAGCAGACCAATCACCAGCAAAAAAATTGAATTGGTAATAAAAAAACTACCTAAGAACAAAACCTGTGGCCCAGATGGCTTCACAGCTGAATTTTATTGAACATTAAAGAAAGAGTTAATAACCTTCCTCCTTAAAGTTCTCCAAAAAGAAGAAAACACTTCCAAAGTCATTCAGTGAGGCCAGCATCACTCTAACACCAAAACCAGGCAAAGACACCGCTAAAAAGAAATTATAAATCATTATCCCTGGTAAACATTAGATGCAAAACTACTTAACAAAATATTAGCAAACATTCTTGGGTTCTGTGATTCTTCTGCTGTTTTGTTCCTTCAGTTTTTCTTGGTTCCAAAGGGGGACTGGTTTGGATGGGAAGGAAAGGAGGGAAAAGGGCAGGGTTAAAGAAAGAGGGTATTACGATTAGCATGTATAATGTGGGGGGGTGGGGCATGGGAAGGGCTGTGCAGCACAGAGAAGACAAGTAGTGATTCTACAACATCTTGCTGTGCTGATGGACAGTGACTGTAATGGGGTTTGTGGGAGGGACTTGGTGAAGGTGGGACCCTAGTAAACATAATGTTCTTCATGTAATTGTAGATAAATGATAACAACAAAAACAAAAAATATTAGCAAACAAAATTAAAAAGTATGCCAGAAAAATAATCCATCATGACAAAGTGGGATATATTTCAGAGATGCAAGAATGGTGCAATATTTGTATATCAATCAAAATCATACATCACATTAACCAACAGGACAAAACTTTATGATTATCTTAATAGATGCTGTAAAAGCATTTGACAAAATTCAACATCTATTAATGAGAAAAATTCTCAACAAAATGTGTATAGGGAGTAAGTACCCAACATAAGACCATATATGAGAAACCCATGGCCACCATAGTACTTAACAGTGAAAAGCTGAAAGCTTTTCCTTTAGGATAAGCAACAAAAGTTTATCTGTAACTCTTCCCCACTTTCATTCAACATAGTACTGGAGATCCTGGCCATGGGTATCAGACAACACAAAAGAAATAAAAGGCATCCAGATTGGTAAGGAAAAAGTTAAACTGTCACTCTTTGCAGATGACATGATATATTACACATAGAAACCCTAAAGACTCAACCAAAGAGGTATTAAAAGTAATAACTGAATTGAGTGAAGTTGCAGGGTACAAAATTAATATGCAGAATTTGTTGTATTCCTATACGCTTATGATGAATTAGCAGAAAGAGAAATCAGGAAAACCACTCAACTTAAAATTGCATCAAAAAGAATAAAATACCTAGGAATAAACATAATCAATGAGTGAAAGACCTGTGTTCTGGAAACTAGAAGACATTCAGGAGAAATTAAAGACACTATTAAATGGAGAAACATCCTGTGCTCATGGATAGTAATAATTAATATTGTCAAAATGGCTATCTTGCCTAAAGCAATCTACAGATTCAATGCAAACTCCATCAAAATAACAACAGCATTCTTCAATGAACTGTAACAGATAGTCCTAAAAGACCCTGAATAGGCAAAGCAGTCCTGAGAAGGAAGAATACAGCTGGGGGGATTACGCACCCCAACTTCAAACTCTACTACAAGCCACAGTAATCAAGACAATTTGGTATTGGTAGAAGAACCGGCCCATAGATCAATGGAACAGATAAAGACCCACATATACATGGCCAATTAATGTATGATAAAAGAGCCATGGACACACAATGTAGAAAAGACAGCCTCTTCAACAAGTAGTGTTGGCAAAGCTGGACAACTGCATGCAAGTGAGTGAAATTGGATTATTGTCTACCGCTGTACACAAAAGTAAATTTGAAATGGGTCAAAGACCTGAATATAACTTTTTTAGATCTAATAGTTTTTTGTTGGAGTGTTTTGATTTTTTATGTATATATCATGTCCTCTGAAAATAGTTTAATTTATTCCTTACCAATTTGGATGACCTTTATCTCTTTGTATTTTACCGTTTGAGTGAAAGTGGTGAGAGTGGGCACATCCTTCTCTTGGTCCTGATCTTAGAGGACAAACTTTCAGCTTTCTGACACTGAGTTTGATGATACTTTGGGTTTGCTGTTTTAAGTATGACATTGGCTGTAGGTTTGACATACATGGCCTTTGCTATGTTGAGGTACATACTCTTTATGCCCAGTTAGTTGAGTCTTTGTCAAGAATGGGTGTTGAATTTTGTCAAATACTTTTTCAGCATCTGCTGAGACAATCAGATGTTTTTATTCATTTTGGTAATGTGGTGTATGATATTGACTAATTTACAAGTATTACATCATTGTGCATCCCTGGAATAAATCCCTGTTGGACATGATGAATCATCTTGATTTATTTTTAATTTAGTTTGCTAATACTTTGTTGAGGATTTTTGCATT